CGGGACCAGGAGCCTGGTGAGTCCTGGGCATGGAACCCGGGGGTCAGGGCTGCTCCCGGGCGCTCCGCAGGGCCGGGGGGCGAGGGCTGGGAGTGAAGTGAAGGGCAGGACCCTGCAGCTGGGGAAATGCCCCCGGGAGATGCAGCCTCCAGGCTCCGAGCTGGGCGCACCGCCGGCATAAGCAGGGTTGTGAAGGAGCCTGACTCTCGGGCCACAGTCTGCCTGGGATACACTCACCCCTCCAGAGAGCGGGTCTCCGGACGTTATGTCCTTCACGCTGGAACTGTCGTCCCCGGGCTTGTGGCTGGAGGTTGCACTCGGAGCCCATAATCCCCCGGCGCTGCAGCACTTGGCAGGGAATCAGGAGAGTTGGCACTGGGGACACTCACAGAGAGAACAGTGAGCCTGCTGGGCAGCAGGTGCAAAGAAGCAGCTGCCTTTCAGCTCAGGTGTTAGAGGTTTCTGTGCTAAGTTCCAGAGCTTGCAGGTTCAATCCCCTCCACAGACACCTGCCCCGTCTGGGTAACACTCCCGTCGGCGCTGCAGCACTTGGCAGGGAATCAGGAGAGTTGGCACTGGGGACACTCACAGAGAGAACAGTGAGCCTGCTGGGCAGCAGGTGCAAAGAAGCAGCTGCCTTTCAGCTCAGGTGTTAGAGGTTTCTGTGCTAAGTTCCAGAGCTTGCAGGTTCAATCCCCTCCACAGACACCTGCCCCGTCTGGGTAACACTCCCGTCCCATCAGCTGCCAATGCACTTTGTAACACACGGCACTGCCCATGCCAGGCAGCCCCAAAGGGCACATCAGAAACCTGAGAGTGTAGCTCTAAACCCCTGAAATAATCCCACAGAATGAACAGGGATGCCTTTTTCTTTGCTCCTGGCACAGCTCAATGTCTAACCCCCCTCCCCTCCACACACGCAGACTCATACCCCCTCCTCCCGGTGCAGTGCCGCGGAATCCACAGCCTCCCTGGGAAACTGGTCCCAGAGCATCCCCAGCCAAGAATGAGAAAGTTTCCGTTGTGTCTGCCCTGAATCTGCCTGGCTGCCGAGTGAGCCCATTTCTAGTTTTCCTTCCAGTGCACACAGGGAAACACTGCCCCGGCCCCCATTAGAATGCTCTTCACATGTGTGACGTCTGTTCTCCAGTCTCTCCTCTCCCCCACGCCCCAGACATCTGTTCCTAAGACTAGGCAGGGCCAGGTTTTATAACCTTTCCTCCCAGCTCAGGTTTTCTAAACCTTTGATCATTTTTCTTTCTCCCCTCTGGGTTTGGGTTTTCTCTCTGATTTGGTTGAAATGAGCCATATCCCTTTTTTGCCTCTTTTTGTTATGGGTTATTTTTTCAATGCAGCACACTATCTGTGTCTAGACTGGCAAGTTTTTCCGCAAAATCAGATGATTTTGGGGAAAACCTTGCCAGCTGTCTACACTGGCCGCTTGAATTTCTGCAAGAACACTGATGATCTCATGTAAGATCGTCAGTGTTCTTGCGGAAATACTATGCTGCTCCCGTTCGGGCAAAAGTCTTTTTCCGAAAGACTTTTGCGCAAAAAGGCCAGTGTAGACAGCACAGTACTGTTTTCCGCAAAAAAGCCCCGATCGCGAAAATGCCAATCCGGGCTTTTTGCAGAAAACCGCGTCTAGATTGGCCATGGATGCTTTTCCACAAAAAGTGCTTTTGCGGAAAAGCATCCTGCCAATCTAGACGCGCTTTTTCGAAAATGCTTTTAACGGAAAACTTAGCTGTTGAGTCATAGAATCACAGAACTCTGGAACTGGAAGGGGCCTCGAGAGGTCATTGAGTCCAGTCCCCGCACCATCTAGAGCATCCCTGACAGGTGTTTGTCTAACCTGCTCTTCAATATCTCCAGGGATGGAGATTCCACAATCTCCCTCGGCAACTTATTCCAGTGTTTCACCACCCTGACAGGCAGGAAGTTTTTCCTAATGTCCAACCTAAACCTCCCTTGCTACAGTTTAAGCCCATTGCTTCTTGTTCTATCCTCAGAGGTCAAGGAGAACAACTTTTCTCCCTCCTTGTAACACCCTTTTTAGGTACTTGAAAACTGCTATCATATCCCCACTCAGACTTCTCATGAGAACAGCCACACTGGGTTAGACCAAAGATCCATCTACCCCAATATCCTGTCTGCTGACTGTGGACAATTCCATATGACTCCGAGGGAGTAAACACAACAGGTAATCCTCACATGATCCCTCTCCTGTCATCCATTTCCAGATAAACAGAGGTTAGGGACACCATTCCTAGCCATCCAGGATAATAGCCATTGATGGACCTGGCCCCCATGTATTTATCTAGCTCTTTTTTGAACCCTGTTAAAGTCCTAGTCTTCACCACATCCTCTGGCAAGGAGTTCCACAGGTTGATTGTGCACTGAGTGAAGAAAAACTTTCTTTTGTTTGTTTTAAACCTGCTGCCTATTAATTTCATATAATGGGGAAAGGAAAATAACTTTTCCTTATTTACTTTTTCCCAGTCATGATTTTATAGACCTCTATCATATCCTCCCTTTGTCTCCTCTTTTCTAAGCTGAAAAGTCCCAGTATTTTCATTCTCTTTTCATATGGGACCTGTTCCAAACCCCTAATAATTTTTGTTGACCTTTTCTGAACCTTTTCCAGTGCCAATATGTCTTTTTGAGATGAATTGACCATATCTGTAGGCTGTATTCAAGATGTGGGCGTGCCATGGTTTTATATAGAGGCAATAAAATGTTCTCTGTCTTATTCTCTATCCCTTTTTAAATGATTCCTAGCATTCTGTTTGCTCTTTTGACTGCCGCTGCCTACTTAGGGCACGTCTGCATAGCTGGGCTAAAGTCGAATTAAGCTATGCAACTTCAGTGATGTCACTTGCATAGTTTAAGTTGAAATCACTTAATTTGACTTTTGGCACTTTCTACAAAGCAGGTAGTGCAAGAAAGAACACTCTTCCTTTGACTTCCCTTACCCTCCTGAAATGAGGGTTACCAAGAGTCAGAGTAAAAAGTTCTTGATAATAAAGATATTTTGAAATAATGGCTTTCAGTGTAGATATGCTAGACATAGGTTCCCAAATGGCCCCACAGTATGCTAACATCTTTATGGCTGACCTAGAACAATGTTTCCTGAAATCCCGTCCCCTATTACGCTTCCTTTACTTACGCTACATTGATGACATCTTTATCTGGATCCATGGACAAGAAACACTGGATGCATTCCACAGAGATTTTAACAATCGACACCCCACCATCAATCTCAGCCGGGACCATTCAACACGACAGATCCACTTCCTGGACTCCACAGTACAAATCACTGATGGCAAAATCAATACGACTCTCTACAGAAAACTCACTGACTGCTATACTTACTTACATGGCCCCAGCTTCCAACCAAGACACACCATATGATCCATCGTCTATAGTCAAGCCCTTAGAAACAACCGCATTTGCTCCAATCCCACTGACAGAGCCCAAAAACTTCAAGATCTCTACCAAGCATTCATAAAAATCAATTACCCACCAGAGGAAATAAAAAAAACAAATTGAAAGGGCCAGACGAATACCCAGAAACCATCTACTTCAAGATGGACCCAAGAAAACCAACAATAGAACACCACTTATCATCAACTATAGTGCCCAACTAAACCCCTCCAACGCATTATCAATAACCTACAACCTTTACTGGAACAGGATACTACACTCCGAGGGTATATCTACACTAGACACCCTAGTTCGAACTAGGGTGGCTAATGCAGTCATTTGAACTTGCAAATGAAGCCCGGGATTAAAATATCCCGGGCTTTATTTGCATGTTCCCGGGCGCCACCATTTTTAAATGCCCCATAGTTCGAACGACCTGCCCGCGGCTACACGTGGCACGGGCTAGGTAGTTCGAATTAAAGCTCCTAATCTGATCTACCATTACTCCCCCTCCTGCCTCTCACTCTCCCTTTCTCTTCTCCTCCCCCTCCTGCCTCTCACTCTCCCTTTCTCTTCTCCTCCCCCTCCTGCCTCTCACTCTCCCTTTCTCTTCTCCTCCCCCTCCTGCCTCTCACTCTCCCTTTCTCTTCTCCTCCCCCTCCTGCCTCTCACTCTCCCTTTCTCTTCTCCTCCTCCTCCTGCCTCTCTCTCCACTCCATCTGTCCCTGCCCCCCTTCCCCTTCCCTCCCGCCGCGGTGTTCGGCTGAGTGCTGCCTTCTCAGCCAGGCTGCTGTGAGGGGGGAGCGGGGTGGTGACATACACGGAAAGGGGACGGGGCCCTGTACGTCAGCGCCCCACCCTCCTTCCCCTCCCGCCGCGGTGTTCGGCTGAGTGCTGCCTTCTCAGCCAGGCTGCTGTGAGGGGGGAGCGGGGTGGTGACATACACGGAAAGGGGACGGGGCCCTGTACGTCAGCGCCCCACCCTCCTTCCCCTCCCGCCGCGGGGAGCCCAAACAGCCCCTTGCACTGCTGGCTCCCCTGGAGGCCCGGCTGAGGGATCAGTTACCCAAGGCCATAGTGGATTCTCTATCACTGGTGCTTTTCATATCAAGGTGGGTTGTTGTTTTAACAGCTCAGCTCCAGGGACTATTGTGGGACAGGTCGTGGGATACAGGCAGGCAGACGAGGTGCTCACAGGGGTCCCTTTTGGCCCCGGGATGGAATCTCTGAATACCTCGGACCTAACGTGGTGCCCAAGTCTTTAAGGGTGTGTTCCACAGCGCCCCTCTCCAGGTTTCCGATCCTGGGCTCCTGCCTACGACAGAAAGGCCACAGAGCTATTTTTAGTGCTGTCATGCGAACCCCCTGGGATTGGAGGCCTGGGATCTGAGACTTGTTGCCAAGGGGATTTTGTATATTTATTCTTTTGTGGGTTGATGTCGCTTGTGTGGGGCCATCAGTGCCCAGAGGTGAATTTTTCCTCATGGGACTCTCAGTTAACCAGACAGTCATTGTCACTTGTTTTTTCAACAGGGAACCCTTGTGAACTGGACCAGAGTCCCATCTCACCATGGCCACCCTCAATCACACCTCCCAGCTCTGGCTCTCCATCCCCTTCTGCTCCATGTACGTGGTGGCTCTACTGGGGAATGGTTTCCTGCTCTTCATTGTCATCAAAGACCCCAGCCTGCACGAGCCCATGTACGTCTTCCTGGCCATGCTGGCGGTCATAGACATTATGCTGTCCTCCACCACCATACCCCAAACGCTCAGCATATTCTGGTTCGGAGCCAGGGAAATCGCCTTCGGTTCCTGCTTCACCCAGATGTTCTGTATCCATTTTGTTTTTGCCACCGAGTCGGCCATCTTGCTGGCCATGGCATACGACCGGTACGTTGCCATCTGCAACCCCCTGAGATACACCGCCATACTAACCCGTGGGAAGGTAGGGAAAATCATGGCAGCCGCTGTCATCAGAGGGCTATGCCTGGTGGCCTCCTTGACCTACCTCCTGAAACAGTTGCCGTACTGCGGACCCAATGTCATTCACAACACATACTGTAATCACATGGGCATAGCCCGTCTGGCCTGTGCTGACATAACCCTCCATGTCTGGTATGGTTTAACGGTGGCCTTTGTAACCAAGGGACTAGACGCTGTGTTTATTGTTGTGTCGTATCTTCTGATCCTTCAGGCCGTCTTCCGGCTCCCATCCAAGGACGCCCGGCTCAAGGCCTTAAGCACCTGCAGCTTCCACGTCAGCGTCATGCTGATGTTTTACATCCCTGCCTTTTTCTCCATCTTCGCCTACCGCTTTCTTGGGGCTCACCTCCCTCCTTATTTTCAGAGCCTCCAGTCCAACCTCTTTCACGTTGTTCCTCCCATGCTAAATCCCCTCGTCTATGGAGTGAGAATGAAACAGATTCAGGAGCGAGTGCTTCCCGAGCTCTGCAAGAAGGGCAAAGGGTCCCGAGGCTGCAGCCAGCCCAAATAGCTGAGCAATTAAACTTGCTAACGAGCCTTGCCCGAAGGGACACACAGTAGTGTATATCAGGTGTCCGTACAGCACCCGGAACAATAGTTAATCCTAGCATCTTAGAATCATAGAACTACGGAGCAGGAGGGGATCTTGGGAAGTCATCAATCCCGCCCCCTGCTCTGTGACAGGACCCAGTAACCCTGGAGCATCCTTGTCAGGGTTTTTCCAACTTAGGTTCAAAAGTTTCCAATGATGGGGCCTATTCCAGACCTCAACTGTCCTTAGTGTTGGGATTTTTTAACTCCCTTTCTAAAGTCCAACCGTCCACTTCTCAGCGAGTCCTGATTTCCTTTGTCGGCACCTGCCCAGGCCTGAATTCAATACTATTGTTTAAAAAATAAGCAACACACATGCAAAGAAATATACGATTGGAAATCTTTTGGCTTTACTATGGTGGTTATATCAAGGACATGCATATAACAAGCATCACAGAAAGTAGATGGAACTTGTTATAAGTAACGGGGCAGAGTACAGTTTGAACCTCTCCAGTCCAGAACTCCTTGGTCTGGAAACATCCGTCGTGCAGAACTATTTTAGCAAGCTGGATGTCCGCTTTTCATGGGTGTGGCCAAGTTTCCTGAGGTCCCATACAGTTTGTTCACAGACACCAGTCCTGGCTCTCTGTGTTCTGTGCTGTTATTTAGCTCTAAATTACCCTTAAGTGTCCTCTAACAGCCCAGTAAGCAGTGACAGTGTTGCTAGTACTGCTAGACTATACTGAATTTCCGTGGTCCGGAAAATTCTCTGGTTCAGAACCACTCAGGTGCTGGACTACAGAGGTGCTACTTGTATTAACAAGATTCAAAATCCAGAGGACTAGCAGAGTAGATTGTCTTGCTAGGGGAGGGGTACTATGTCTGACAGAAAACAGAGTCTCACATATAGGAACAAACTTCCATGAATGAAACAGGACCATAGAGGGAAATACAGAAATTCCATGCTTGAACGGGAAAAGTAGAGCAACAGGAATATGCTACCGACACCTGACCCAGGTGGTGATGGGGATTGTGAAATGAATAAGGAGATTAAAGAGGCTACAAAAAAAGAAACTGCAGTAATTGAGGAGGTTTTCAATATCCCCATGCTGACTGGGATGTCCTTTCAGGACAGGATGCAGAGATAAAAAAGTTCAAACACCATTATTGACTGCTGCTTGGAGCAACTCCTCTGGGAACCTGCAAGGGGAAAAGCAATTCTTGATTTCATCCTAAAAGGAGCACAGGGTCTGGTCTAAGAGATGAATACAGCAGCATTGCTTGGTACTAGTGATCATAATGTAAATACATTTAATATTCTTGTAGAGGGGGAAAACAACAAAGAAACCCTCCGCAGTAGCATTTAACTTCAAAAAGGGGAACTGCCCCAAATGAGGAAGCTAAAGGACCAGTCACAAGAGCAAAATGCCAGAGAGCTGCATGGAAGCTATTTTAAAACACTCGTAGAGAGGCTCAAACTAACTGTCTTCCCCGATTAAAAAAAGACAAGAAAAAAATGAAGAAGACCAAAAAATACCACCATGCCTAGATGACAAAATAAAAGACATGGTTGGAAACAAAAAGGCATCCTTTAAAAACTGGAAGGCAAACCCTACTGAGGAAAATAGAAAGATACTAGCAAGCTATGAGTAAGATAAGATGAGAGAGAGGTCTATAAAATAAGATAAGAGAGAGGTCTATAAAAGCATAAATAGTGTGGGGAAAGGAATAAGGAAGTAGGACTTTTTTTTACCCCTTCCCACAACACAAGAGCAGGGATCACCCCATGACATTCATAAGCATCAGGTTTAAAACAAACACAAGAAAATATTTCTTCACACAGTGCACAATTAACTTGTGGAACTCCTTTCCAGAGGATGTTGTGAAGGCCAGGACTTTAAGGCTGTGTCTACACTGGCCACTTATTCCGGAAAATCAGCCGCTTTTCTGGAATAACTTGCCAGCTGTCTACACTGTCCCCTTGAATGTCCGGAAAAGCACTGACGATCTACTGTAAAATCATCAGTGCTTTTCCAGAAAAACTATGCTGCTCCCGTTTGGGCAAAAGTCCTTTTCCGGAAAACTGTTCCAGAAAAGGGCCAGTGTAGACAGCACAAATTTCTTTTCCGCAAAAAAGCACCGATCACGAAAATGACGATCGGGGCTTTTTTGTGGAAAAGCGTGTCTACATTGGCACAGACGCTTTTCTGGAAAAAGTGCTTTTCTGGAAAAGCATCCTGCCAATGTAGACACGCTTTTTCCGGAAATACTTATAACGGAAAACTGTTCTGTTTTAAGCATTTCCGGAAAAGGATGCCAGTGTAAAGGTAGCCTAACTGTATTAAAAAAAAAGCTAGCTATGTCTATGGAGGAAATATACATCAATTAGCTAGTATGGGCAGGAAGGTGACCCCATGTTCCGGGTGTCCCTAACCTGCTCACTGCCAGGTGCTGGGAATGAATGACAGGGGATGGGTGGATTCATAATTCTCTCTGACGCGCCTGGTGCCAGCCACTGCCTGCGGACAGGACGCTGGGCGAGGTGGTTCTTTGCTCTGGCCGAGAATGGCTGCTCTTCTGTTTTCCTTATGTTGTCCTTAGTCCGAAAGAAAGGTCATTCGGATGGGAAGTTTCTGGCTGGTGTCTGTGTTCGGCAAAACCTGTTTGTTACTGAGATTGGAACAGAGAGAAGAGGGGACGAGCCAGAGATATGGCCCCTGGGGGAGGCCCCAGCGACCAGGACACAAAGCCCCCCTGTGTTGCCTGCATTTCCCAGGGCGAGAGGGGGGGCTGGGGCTCTCCCCTCCCTCCCCCCAGCCCAGCGCAGCTCCCTGCCCTCCCCCAGACTGTCCCTGCCTTCCCAGATAAAATCAGCCAAGCCTCTAAATCACCCAGGTGCCCGCAATAAATCAGTCTGGTCGCTGCCTCTCCTACGGCTCCTGTGATGGAAGTGCTCTGCTGGAAATCAGCAGACCCGCCTACGGCTCCTGTGATGGAAGTGCTCTGCGGCAAATCAGCAGACCCCTCCCGCCCCCGCACATGCAGGCAGCGCTGTGCTCACCCCCCCGCCCCACAACCGCTCCCAGGGCCCCCCTTGTGCCCTCCCTGCCCCCTGGCACCCCTGCCCTCACCAGCTCTCTCTGCCTCAGCTGCCCCCGGGGAGCCAGGGTGGGGGCTCTGCTCTGTGAGGAGAAATGCCAACCCCCAGAGATGCCGGGAGCAGCCTCTGCTTGAGCGTTTGGCGGGAAGATGCAGCTATTATACCAACCCCCCTTCCCTTTATGGTGCTGCTGTGTGGACCCCCATCACCTCTCCTCCCCCTGCTGCTCTCTCCCTGGGGAGGAAGAAAGGATGGGGGGCAGGACTGCTTGGCCCCTCCTTGCTGGCCAATGCTCTTGCAAGACCCTTAGAATATAATTTGGTGCTACTGTAACCACCACCAAGGCAGATTTGAACCTGGGACCTCAGGAGCTGACTCTAGGAGTTTCTGAGCTAAAAACCAGCTGGCCCCCAGCCCCTGCTGTAGAGGTCTCTTGATCGTAACTGTTGCAGAGGTCTAGGTGCCACTTGCACTACTCAGTAACCACACTAGGGCTGTGTCTGCACTCGCGGCTTCTTGCGCGAGTAATATGCAAATGAGGCTAAGCGTGGAATATCGCTGAGCCTCATTTGCATACCTAATGAGCCATCATTTTTTTCAGAAGAGGCTCTTATGCAAGAAGGGGCGTGTACACTGCCCCTTCTTGCGCAAGAAAAATCTTCTTGCGCAATGCCGTTCTTCCTGAAAAGTAATAGGTGTCACGGCGTTGCGCAAGAGGGGTTTTCTTGCACAAGAAGGGGCCGTGGAGACGCTCCTTCTGAGAAAAAGGGTGGCTCATTAGGTATGCAAATGAGGCTCGGCAATATTCCACGCTTAGCCTCATTTGCATATTTCTCGCGCAAGAAGCCGCGAGTGTAGACATAGCCCAGGTGTGTGGGTTACACTACCTCTGTACAGGTAGCAGAGTGTAAGGACAGCCCAACAGCCCAACAGCACAGCCATGGCTGGCGGCAGCTCTGTAACCCAGCGGCACGGCCTGCCCTCTGCTCCTTCAGTCCATGGCCCAGGAACCCAACGGGCGTCTGGCTACCGCGATCAGAGGGGGCTGCTCAGAATCAGGCCCGCTGACGGGGAGGGGGGCAAAGGGGTAATTGCCCCATGGCCTGGAGTTTCAAAGAGGCCTAGAGGTTCTTGCCACCACAGCCACTGCTACTATGGCAACGCCCCAGGCCTCAGACCCATGTGAATTGCCAATGGAGTATTGGAACCCTAACCCTAACCCTAACCCTAACCCTGACCCTAACCCTAACCGCACTGCACTACACTGAGGGCTGGGGAGGGAGGCAGGACCCTTGTGGTCTGGGCACCACTGAGTTTCTGGCCTCTCTGGTCTCCCCCAGAAACATGGAGGTCATTCGGCGTATGCACCTTCAGAGAGCAGTGCTAACTCGTGGCCAAACTAGGCAGCCTTCGGGGTTTTGCCACTGGCACGAAGCATCTCCCGGTACCCCGGTCCCTGTCTAGGCTGCACTCTTGGGGAGTTGCTATTGTAGGGTTGAGTCATGCAGAAACCCGTCCCACAGCCGGCCCTCCCCAGCAGCGGCTGTCACACATAGAGGATGGTTCTGGAGGGGAAAATTGTATCCTAGGCAACAGCAACACCAGGCCCGAAACAAAGCATCTGGCCTCCGAAGTCCTTAATGCACCGTCTGTGCCCAGCCCCAGACCTTTTGTTCTTGCTTTATGTGGTCAGCTTAAGAGGCACTCAGGCCCTGGCAGGTTGGGCAAGAAAAGGCACTTGTAATGCAAATCATGGAAAAGCAGGAAATGGCTGAACCAAACTGACTGGGTGAGTTCCTGTTAATCTTTAATGATTTACCATTCAGCCAGGCTGAGAGCTCACTACGTAAGGAGGCAATATTAATATCCCCGTGTGCCAATCCCAGTCAGTGCGGATCCCCCACCACCTGCCGCTTCCAGCCCGGATCACTGTCCCAGCCAGCACAGAGTGAGTTGTTTGCATTGAACGTTTGGGTTTGGGGCCACTCAATGTTATTCTAAAATAAATGCTTAGAGACCAGAGATCTTCCACTGGGAGGCTCTCCCAGGCTCAGAGATAGGCAGAGGCATTAACACGCTGAAAGCAGCCTGGCCTGGAGGATCCTAAACTCCATGCATGTGAAAATGCCAGGAGGGGACCAGCCTCGGCTGTCGAGGAAGCGGGTGAACAGCAGGGTGTTCTGGGGAAAGAGCCATGGGCTTTTCCTGACGGAGCTCAGCCTGTGACTTCCAGTGTTTTCGGCTGGTTTATGAGAAACCTAGACAGCTGGATAAACTGAAAAACAGTCTGGTAGCACTTTGAAGACTAACAAAACATGTAGATGGCATCATGAGCTTTTGTGGGCTGTGCAGGGTCTCAATACGTGGATGAGACAATGGTGGGAAAGGAGGAATTTATGTTTATTAAGAACTGGGGAATCTTTTGAGAAAGGAGGAGTCTATAGAGGAAGGATGGGCATCCCTCTACCTAGACCAAAATGGGACCAGCTTGCTGGCATATTAAATTCAAAAGAGCGGAAGGGAATTTTTAATTGAAGGGCGGAGAAGACAGAAGTGGATGAAGAATAGGTAGGAACCGAAGAGAGAAACAGTTGCAGGAAAAGAGTGACATGCAAGTATATCATATGGAGGCAGACTGCTAAAAACGGGCAGATTTGATACGCACTTGTCTACCAGTGTTTACACACTAAGATGGTGAATTTGAGTGCCAAGGATTCAGTAACAGCAGGGTTCAAAAATCTCAGAATGACAGAGTAGGTCCTGCGGCTGGCGGAACAGCACGATGTGTGGAAAAAACAGAGTCCGATCCAGTAAAAATCTTAAATGACTCACATTTGAAGGAGAACAATTCTGTGCTTGAATCCCAAGTGTTGGGGATTCTACTACTAGACACCTGACCACAATGGGGACAGTGACTGAGATTAAAGAGGCTACAAAACCAAAACCCACTAATAATGCAGGATTTCAAAATATCAACTGGGTACATGCCACCGCAGGATGGGATGCAGCCAGAGCATTTCAAAGGCCACTAAGGATGGCTTTGTGTAGCTGCCAGTCTGGAACTCACAAGGGGAGGGGCAATCCTTGATTTGGTCCTACGTGGAGCGCAGGATATGGTCCAAGAGGTGCTTCAAATGAGCTTGAGTGGAGGAAAAAAAATATGTCCATGAAAGCTCATGAGACTCTCTCTCTCTCTCTTTCTCTCTAGTATATATGGGTATGTCTACACTAGCCCTCTAGTTCGAGTTAGGGAGGCTAATGTAGGCATTCGAAATTGCAAATGAAGCTCAGGATTTAAATATCCTGGGCTTCATTTGCATGTTCCCGTCTGGTCGCCATTTTGAAATTCCACTAGCCCGAAGTAATTGCCCGCAGCTACACGCAGCAGTGAAATGGTAATTCGAACTAAGTTCTTAGTTCGAGTTAACTGTTACACCTCATTCCAGGAGGAGTAACTGTTAATTCAAACTAAACCTCATTCTACGAGGAATAATGTCTTTTGTCGACAGAGTTCTGTCGACAGAAGGCGTTATTGCATCCACACTGTTCTTTGTGTCTATACTGTCATGTCGACAAAGCGGCTTGCTTTGTCGACAGAACTGGATGTAGTCTAGACACTCTTTGTCAACAGAAGCTTTGTCGACAGTATCAGTTGACAAAACTTCTGTTGACAAAAGCCTGTAGTACCCTAAGGTGTCACACGATTACTCATTGGTTTTAAAGTTACAGACTAACATGGCTCTCCCCTGAGACAATATACCTAAGGGAGTGTGTAAACTACACCCCTCCGCTGAAAGAGGGATGTAGATTAGGCACATCGCTATTGCAAATGAAGTGAGGATTTAAATATCCCGTGCTTCATTTGAATAAAAATGGCTGCCGCTTTTTGCCAACGGGCTATTTGCCAGCAAAAAGTGGCAGTCTAGACAGGGATCGGTCAACAAGGAAAGCCTTTTCCAACCTATCCTGTAAACCTCGTTGCACGAGGCATAAGGGATCAGTCGGAAAAGGCTTTCCTTGTCAACCAATCCCCGTCTAGACTGCCGCTTTGGCCGGCAAAGTGCCATGGTGGCAAAAAGTGGTGGCCATTTTTATTCAAATGAAGCATAGGATATTTAAATCCCCACTTCATTTGCAATAGCGCTGTGTCTAATTTATATCCCTCTGTCGGCAGAGGGGTATAGTTTAGACACACCCTTAATGTAACATCCTTATAAGGCAGAAAATACCAAACAATGCCCTTGTAGTAGCGTTTCCCTTCAAAACGGGGAACTACATAAGAACGAGGCAGCTAGTCACACAGAAGCTAAAAGGAACAGTCACAAGAGTGAAATGCCTGCAAGCTGCATGGAAACTATTTACAGGTGCCATGAAAGAGGCTCAAACCAAATGCAGAAGCCCCCAAGCTACCAAAAGAGCCCAGTAAGAGGGTCGGACAATGCTGCCATGCCTAACCAGCCAAGTAAAAGAAGTGGTTTAGAGAGGGGGGCTGCTGGATGAGTGTGGTGCCAAAGGAAAACTCAAGGAAAAGTCAGCTGCTGTGGAGCATGGGAGAGAATTTGTTCCATTGCTCTTCATGGCTGAGGAGGTGAGAGCAATCCCTCCTCGGTTATTGTTTTTAGACAATCAATCTGAGGCCCTGTCCCATTAGAGGAGGTGTCGGAGCAGAGATGCACGTTGAGCAGGGATATGTCACCGGGACCAGATGGGATCCACTCAAGAGCACCAAAGGAGCTAAAATAGGTCACTACAGAAGAATTAACTGGGGTATGCAGCCTACCTGTTAAAACCGGCTCGGGACAAGATGGCCGGAGGACAGCTAATGTGGTGCTGAGTTTAAAACATCTCCAGAGGCAATCCTGCCAATTGCCTGCAAGCCTGACTTTCAATAGGGCCGATGCCAGAGGGTTCACAGGGAATGAGCTGAACAGGGCACATGCATGGAGTGACCTATCCCCTCTCCCCAACTCCCCAGTTTGGGGCAAACAGAGGCTTAGAGCATGGGCTTATGTTCCTGCCCATCCTGGCTATTAGGCACTGATGGATCTGTCTGCCATGTACTTATCTAATTCTTTTTCTGAAGCATGCATTATCTTTGATCTTCACAACATCATGTGTCAAGGAGTTCCACAGGTTGACTGGGGCTTGTGTGACTAAAGACTTATCTGTGTGTCTAGAGCTGCTGCCTGATATTTGCATTAGGTGATCCCTGGGTCTTGTGTTATGTCAAAGAGCCCCAGGCATTTGAATCTCTCCTCATTGGCCCAGGTGTCCTTGCTAAGCGAGAGCGCAGTACTACGAAGGGATGGGCAACCACGAATAGTGGGTGGGCTGCATGGGAGGCTCTCCTTCACCTCAGTGGGCAGCAGCAACCTGCAGCCCACTCCCCCGTATGCCCCCTCCCCCACTCACCTGGGACAGCTGGGCCTCGCGCTTACCTGCTCCTCCCTCCGGCACTTTCAGAGCACACGAATCACCTGATTCATGCTCCGTCCCCGTTCCTTCCTCTCCCTCCTGCAGCCGGAATGTCATGAACAGCTGATCCGCGGCATTCCAGCTCTGGGAGGCAGGGGGAGGGGCAGGGATGGAGCATGAATCGGCCAATTTGCGGGGCCTCCGAGAGTGCTGGGAGGGGGGGAGGTGAAGGAAGTGCGGGACCCCAGAGCCCCCGTGCGCCTCTCTCAAAGCAAAGTTGGTTAACCCGTCAGGTTTGGGAATGTGGAAATGGAGTGTGTGCTGTTCAAAGTGGGGTTTCCCTCTCTTTTGTAACAAAGTCCTGAGCCCAGGGGATCCCCCTGAGCATCTAGATTAACGGGGGGCTCTTTTCCATCTAGTCACCACGCTGGCAACTGTCATTTGGATTTTGAGAATAAAAGTTTGCTTCTTTTTTTTTATTAACCTGGTATTGGCTCATTTTTGTGCCCTGGGCAATCTGTCTGTGTGCATCTGCCGGCCTCTGTCTAGGGGGCAGCTACCACAGACTGCAGCTGGTATTTTCTCTTTTCTTTTTCAAGCTTTTTGGGGAAAAGAGCTAGAGGTACGCCTGAGGTTTTAGGGAGGTTTCCCAAGGGATCTCTTCCCTGGTTTTCTTGGACTACTTGGGTGGAGACAGCGGTTTTTATTCTCCAAAGTCCTGGTATTAGGGTTTGGGGGGGATGTTTTTGTACCAAAGCCTGTAGAGAGCAGGTTTTGAGGTGCTTTTGAAGGCCCCCAATTCTGCATTTACTGTGTCAGAGTGGGGAACAGACTTGACAAAAGGCAACTAGGGGGCTGGAGCACATGACCTATGAGGAGAGACTGAGGGATTTGGGCTTGTTCAGTCTGCAGATGAGAAGAGTGAGGGGGGATTTGGGGGGGTGGGCACAGGGGGGAGAGAAGGGCTGGTGTGGGGGGCAGGTCTCAGGAAGGCTGAGGACAGTGAGAAGGGCAGGAGTCAGGACAGCAGAGTAAGGTGAGGAGTTGGGGGGCAGCAGGCACCAGGGGAGCTGATGGAACAAAGGGAGGAGACATGGCAGCAGAGAGAAAAGGTAAAGGTTTAAAAATATTGATTAATAACTTGGGTGCCACAGTGGCACATCCAAACAAGCCACATGCACTCAGTACTGGTGCACAACACACAATTCATTTTGCTCATGGGGGGAAACTCTTAGCCTATGTCTATACTGGCAGTTTCTTGCACAAAGGTTCTTGTTCAAGAAGCCTTGCCCAAGAACACGTCCACACTGCCATGTGCGAGCTGTGCTTTTGCACAAGAGCATCTGTGGCAGTGTGGACGCTCGCTTGCCCAAGAAAGCTCCGATGGCCATCTTAGCCACAGGAGTTTCTTGTGCAAGAAATCCCTGCCGAGCATCCAAAATTCCCCTCTTGCACAAGAGAGCTTACACCTGTTAGCTCTTGCGCAGGATGCCCTCTCTTACCACGCCGTACTGTAAATTTCCTTGCACAAGAGCAGGCGGGCAGTGTGGCTGCTCTGTGGGTTCTTGCACAAGAAGCCATGAGTGTAGACATAGCCTCAGAGGGAACACTTCCCCCAGCTCTCTGCCCCTGAGTTAATGTCGCACTCATTGGGTTAATGCAACTGCAGGATAGTTGTATGACGGGGGTTTGGTGGGGGCCAAACTAATCCCTGTTGGTAGGAGGATGGTGGGAAAAGCCCTTCGAGAGGGATGACGTGACACCGTTTACTTCTGGTCATGTGTCCATCTTGCCCCAAGCGTGTTACCTTCAGAGGCGTGGCTAATGGAGAGGGGGCAGGGGGCGTGGCTAATGGGGGCCAGTGGGCGTGGCTAATGGGGCACCACCAAAAATTATACAAACCTGCTGCCCGTGCACACCAATGATACACCCGTCAATGTAAGATAAACAGCCCAGCGGATCATGACATGGAGATTGATGGTTACATGGAATAATTTGCTCAAAGCACCTTTGACTTATGTATATTCATATCTATGAGTCCGTTTCATAAAGCGTGGGGGGGATGTGTCTATCACACCTTTCCCCTGCACTTACTGCCAGAGGGGTGGACAGTGTGCAATGCGAAGGCCGTGTATCCAGCAGTCCACCGGGGCTTTGCCTGCCCAAGCATCCAGTGCCATCAAACCTTGTGCTGTCATTCCTGCCAGGTCTTCCAAAGTTGTGGGTTCCTGTCCCCCAACGGTCCAAAACACGTGTGGGTGTAGCAGTGCCCCCAGAATACAAAGAGCAATGTCTTTCCATATGCCAATGTCTTGGTATTTAGTCACCATTACCATTAGGTGATGTGCCTCAGTTTCCCCTTCCACACAGCCATACAGGTTAGTTGTGCCTTTGCTGCTACAGTCAGCTCTGAGCCCATGCACAGTCGTTAGCTTAGAAGCTGCGTGATCTTGGGATCCTTTTACTCCTGGCCCCAGCAGGCACCAAACCTTTTCCAAACGCTTAAGCATGTTCCACAGCTTCAAAAGGTTTATCGTCCAGATAAGTCTCTTTGTGCTAACCCAGAAGAGTTGCGGGGAAAGACATAAGACCACCAGCAAACCAATGCCAGAGCAGTGTTTCCAAGTATGGATTTCATACCGTGCTCCCTCTCTAGACCATTTATGGGGCACGGTACCTCTTCCTTCTTTTACAACCTCTGTGTGCCAAGGGGGGTGCATTCAAAAAGAGGTGTCTCTCACATCAGTGTAGGCCATGTCAAGCCCTCCTTGGAGGCGCTGGGAAGGAAAGCGTTCCCAAAGGAGAGACTTTCCCCTCCCCCTGCTGAGGGATTCCTCTCTCCTTCCCTGAAGTGTTACATTAGCAGGCTCCCATGCATTTACAATAGTGATAGGAATGTAGCCGTGTTAGTCGTGTGGAGCTGAAACAAAAGACAGGACTATGTAGCACTTTAAAGACTAACAAGATGGTTTATTAGATGATGAGCTTTCATGGGCCAGACCCACTTCCTCAGATCAAATAGTGGAAGAAAATAGTCACAACCATATATACCAAAGGATACAATTAAAAAAATGAACACATATGAAAAGGACAAATCACATTTCAGAACAGGAGGGGGATGCGGGGGGTGGGAGGGAAGGAAGGAAGGTAAGTGTCTGTGAATTGATGATATTAGAGGTGGGGAGAGTGGGATGTCTGTGAGCTAATGGTATTAGAGGTGATAATTGGGGAAGCTATCTTTGTAATGGGTAAGATAACTAGATCCTTTATTCAGACTCAGGTGTAAAGTGTTGAATTTAAGCATGAATAACAGTTCAGAGGATTCTCTTTCAAGTGCAGTCTTAAAAGGCTTTTGAAGCAGGATGCAGGTAATTAAGTCGTTGAGACAGTGTCCTTTCTGGTTGAAATGGCAAGAAACTGTTTTTCTTTGTGATCCTGTCTGATATCTGTTTTGTGGGCATTGATCCTTTGGCGAAGTGCATTTACAGACAGCCTGGGACTTCTGCCTCCCTGAGTGCAATCAAGGGCCAATTCAGTGTCTGACACAAGCATCTTTGAGTTATGTATATGAGTCCACGAGTCCATTTCATAAAGTGTGTGTGTGTGGGGGGGTCCGTCACAGGGGCAATGCTATGTCTGGTCCAAATCTGTTGGGTGAGCCCAACCTGCCAGAGGAGTTATGTATGTGATTGTCTTTCTCCACAGAACCGGGGTGAGCCCTCGCCCAGAGCCCGCCATGCTGACACTCAACCAGAGCAGCTTCGATCCCATCACCTTCATCCTGACTGGCATCCCAGGCATGGAAGAGTCTCACACCTGGATTTCCGTCCCTCTCTGCCTGATGTATGTGGTGGCGCTTTTTGCCAACTCGGTCATATTCCTCATTGTCATCACGGAGCGCAGCCTCCACGAACCCATGTACCTTTTCCTCGCCATGCTGGCGGTCGCGGACCTCATGCTGTCCACGGCCACCGTGCCCAAGATGCTGGCCATATTCTGGTTCAGTGCCAAGGAAATTTCTTTCGACGGCTGCATCACCCAGATGTTCTTTACCCATTTCAGTTTCATCGCCGAGTCGAGCGTTTTGCTGGCCATGGCCTTTGACCGGTACATTGCCATCTGCTATCCCCTGAGGTACCCGAGTATAATCACACCCTCGGTGATCGGGAAAATAGCTGTGACGGCCGTTGTGAGAGGGTCGTGCATCATGTTCCCGCCTATTTTCCTCCTCAAGAGGCTACCGTACTGTGGACACAACATTATGCCTCACACGTACTGTGAGCACATGGGCATAGCCCGGCTGGCTTGCGCCGATATAACAGCCAACATCTGGTACGGGTTCACCACCACGCTGCTCTCCTCGGGGTTGGACGCTGTGCTCATCGCTCTGTCTTATGTGCTGATCCTCAGGGCCGTCTTCCGGCTCCCGTCCAAGGACGCCCGTCTCAAAGCTCTCAGCACCTGCGGCTCCCACTTCTGTGTCATCCTGATGTTCTACATGCCGGCCTTCTTCTCCTTCCTCACTCATCGCTTTGGCCACAGCATCCCTGGGCACATTCACATCCTGTTGGCCAACCTCTACGTGATCGTCCCCCCCATGCTGAACCCCATCGTCTACGGGGTGAGAACGGGACAGATCCGGGAACGTGTGATCCGCATGGTCTCCCAAGTCTGGGGGTTTCACTGCTGCAGTGGAGGCAGGGGATGTTGACTTTCACATGTTCATCCCCAGGCCAACTGATATTGAGCGTCCCGGCGGGGCCCGTGCTGGAGCAACGAAACTCGCCAGCAGGTTCCTTCCAAATGAAACCAAATTGCTCAGAAGGAGGGTTTCAAGGAAGTGGAAATCTCTGGTCTTTTCATGACTGGAGGTTCCTCCCATGATGTTTGCTTCTGGTGCTGCAGGTGAACTGCCAGATGCTGCCCTCCAGCACAGATCAAATGAAGACCTTTCGAACATAGTGAGGACTGCCGAGATTTCCGTGAAGGTGAACTTCTGCAGACGCACCTTGCACCATTGTTAGTCTGCCCACCAAGGTCCCCTCTACTCTTTTCCATTCATGTGCGGAATAATTGAATGTGCACTGAGACATGTGCGAATGTGCACCAGCAATAGAAATACAAAATCCCATTGGTGCTCTGCTAATCAGCTGGGCTGGTACTGGTAGTCCTGTGGCACCAATTAACACAAATTTAGAGAGTACCATGTGCTTTCGTGGGCAAACCCCACTTCTTCAGATGAGTTGGAAGCTGGAATGGAAATGACAAGGAACCCAGAATGTATAACAGAAAAAGAAGAGGGGGGAATAAAAGGTTCCTGTCAATTGTAGGACTGGGACTAATGAGGCTAATTGAGCGGGCTAGAAGTGTCCCATACTTAGCTTTTGGTGAAAACAAGGCGTTAAATGCAGGGAAGTCTGCTTTATAAGGTGACATCCTGTTAATGTCTTTGTTCAAGCCCAAGGAAACACTGTGGCTGTGTCTAGACTGCATCCCTTTTCTGTAAAAGGGATGCAAATTAGACACATGGCAATTGCAAATGAAGCGGGGATTTAAATCCCCCCTGCTTCATTTGCATAAACATGGCTGCCACTTTTTTC